AAAAAAGGGCTCAAAGTTTTAGTTTTCTGGTAGTGGAGGAACAATCTACAATTTAATTAAGTGGTTCATACCAAGTATGTACTGAATTTCCCACATAAGTAACTGGAATTTACTGACTGTGAGTGAAATTTCCGTAGTATTTTGAGTGATGATTTGCAAGTTTGCTACTGAGTTTATTATAATTTAATAACTTTGGCCAAAAATTTTATAAGACAGTAGTTAAGCAAATGTGTATGAAAGTATAATAATTGTTGCATATATTACTGTGAAATTTTTAAATGGAATTTATTAAAATGTTAATGAAAAAAAAACAAAACCTATCTACAAAAAAAAATTTATGTATTCATGAAGTGCATGATGAAAATTATATTCTTTATTTCATAAATATTTTGATGTAAGTGTATGTAGGTGTTCAGTAAACCCCATATTCTTATGAAGGACTTGCGACTTGTCTGTTTTCTTTTTTTTTTTATTTAAATTTGCGGGAAAAAAACCGCTTGCTTCCCTTGTGGGAAGTTGTACTTGGAGGAAGAAACTGGAGTTCCCTTTCCCCTTGGACCCAAAACCTGTTCCCCCAAACCCTAGGTGCTTTTTAGACCCTACGAGTTTGGTTTTTCCCTGTAAATTTTTGGGAATGCTTTCCCCACTTCATACACTAAAATAACACGTTGATTATATTGTTAAGTATGCATACAACTTTAATATATTGAGGCACATTAATATATCTATACTTCGTCCTAGTGTTGATATTATTTTAACTTAAGACCAGGGATTATTCCTAGGATAAAAAGCGTTATTATCAAGCAAACTTGCTTTCATAATAAGTTTCATCAGTTTAAAATTTCGTTAAAATATTGCTTTAATCTATCGAAACTTAAACCGTATGACAGGTGAGTGAATCGTCCTGCTAGTGACAATTGTTTTAATGTTCCCTCACGTCACTGCCCAACGAATCCACTTATGGTGCCACCCTCGTGTCTTGCACTATTTTTTTCTAACCATTTAACATCAACATGGATAAGTTAATGGGTCTCTTGGGGCCGTTTTTTTTTTTTTTTTTTTTACACAGGGTTTGACAAGGTTAAGGATCCCTAGCTTTATTGACAAGCTATTTACAGGTTAAGGATTCCTAACTTTATTGGCAAGCTAAGAGCTGTTACCTACATCAGCTCATTTGAAAGCATTTTTATTGTTATGAGACATACAAGTAGGGAACAGGATGAAGTTGGAGCCATCTGTGGGCCAGCATTTTCATTTGATCAATTGACTTTATCTCGTTGACATCATTATGCTGTACATTATCGGTACAAAAGCATTTTTAATTGTTATCATGACTTAAGAAAGCAAGGGCTCAATCACGTCACTTCATTCAGAAAGAAAAGAACAGACTTGTTACCATGTTTACGTTTTAACATTAGGTGCAGTATAAAACAAACTTAAGAGCTATAGGCAAGGTACTTAACCTGGTTCCTGCACATAACATTTGTATAAAGCAATGAACAATTTCTTTGTGTAGTATACAAAGTACTTTACATGTCATAAAATATTGTTAAGCAGAAAGAAAGCCACTAGCATGCTTGTGCAAATGGGGCAGACTAATCCTAATGCCTAGCATGCTTGTGCAAATGGGGCAGACTAATCCTAATGCCTAGCATGCTTGTACAAATGGGGCAGACTAATCCTAATGCCTAGCATGCTTGTGCAAATGGGGCAGACTAATCCTAATGCCTAGCATGCTTGTGCAAATGGGGTAAACTAATCCTAATGCCTAGCATGCTTGTGCAAATGGGGCAGACTAATCCTAATGCCTAGCATGCTTGTGCAAATGGGGCAGACTAATCCTAATGCCTAGCATGCTTGTGCAAATGGCGCAGACTAATCCTAATGCCTAGCATGCTTGTGCAAATGGCGCAGACTAATCCTAATGCCTAGCATGCTTGTGCAAATGGGGCAGACTAATCTAATGCCTAGCTGCTTGTGCAAATGGGGCAGACTAATCCTAATGCCTAGCATGCTTGTGCAAATGGGGCAGACTAATCCTAATGCCTAGCATGCTTGTGCAAATGGGGCAGACTAATCCTAATGCCTAGCATGCTTGTGCAAATGGGGCAGACTAATCCTAATGCTAGATGCTTGTGCAAATGGGGCAGACTAATCCTAATGCCTAGCATGCTTGTGCAAATGGCGCAGACTAATCCTAATGCCTAGCATGCTTGTGCAAATGGGGCAGACTAATCCTAATGCCTAGCATGCTTGTGCAAATGGGGCAGACTAATCCTAATGCCTAGCATGCTTGTGCAAATGGGGCAGACTAATCCTAATGCCTAGCATGCTTGTGCAAATGGGGTGCAGACTAATCCTAATGCCTAGCATGCTTGTGCAAATGGGGCAGACTAATCCTAATGCCTAGCATGCTGTGCAAATGGGGCAGACTAATCCTAATGCCTAGCATGCTTGTGCAAATGGGGCAGACTAATCCTAATGCCTAGCATGCTTGTGCAAATGGCGCAGACTAATCCTAATGCCTAGCATGCTTGTGCAAATGGCAGACTAATCCTAATGCCTAGCATGCTTGTGCAAATGGGGCAGACTAATCCTAATGCCTAGCATGCTTGTGCAAATGGGGCAGACTAATCCTAATGCCTAGCATGCTTGTGCAAATGGGGCAGACTAATCCTAATGTCTAGCATGCTTGTGCAAATTGGGCAGACTAATCCTAATGCCTAGCATGCTTGTGCAAATGGGGCAGACTAATCCTAATGCCTAGCATGCTTGTGCAAATGGGGCAGACTAATTCCTAATGCCTAGCATGCTTGTGCAAATGGGGCAGACTAATCCTAATGCCTAGCATGCTTGTGCAAATGGCGCAGACTAATCCTAATGCCTAGCATGCTTGTGCAAATGGCGCAGACTAATCCTAATGCCTAGCATGCTTGTGCAAATGGGGCAGACTAATCCTAATGCCTAGCATGCTTGTGCAAATGGGGCAGACTAATCCTAATGCTAGCATGCTTGTGCAAATGGGGCAGACTAATCCTAATGCCTAGCATGCTTGTGCAAATGGGGCAGGACTAATCCTAATGCCTAGCATGCTTGTGCAAATGGGGCGACTAATCCTAATGCCTAGCATGCTTGTGCAAATGGGGCAGACTAATCCTAATGCCTAGCATGCTTGTGCAAATGGGGCAGACTAATCCTAATGCCTAGCATGCTTGTGCAAATGGGGCAGACTAATCCTAATGCCTAGCATGCTTGTGCAAATGGGGCAGACTAATCCTAATGCCTAGCATGCTTGTGCAAATGGGGCAGACTAATCCTAATGCCTAGCATGCTTGTGCAAATGGGGCAGATAATCCTAATGCCTAGCATGCTGTGCAAATGGGGCAGACTAATCCTAATGCCTAGCATGCTTGTGCAAATGGGGCAGACTAATCCTAATGCCTAGCATGCTTGTGCAAATGGGGCAGACTAATCCTAATGCCTAGCATGCTGTGCAAATGGGGCAGACTAATCCTAATGCCTAGCATGCTTGTGCAAATGGGGCAGACTAATTCTAATGCCTAGCATGCTTGTGCAAATGGGGCAGACTAATCCTAATGCCTAGCATGCTTGTGCAAATGGGGCAGACTAATCTAATGCCTAGCATGCTTGTGCAAATGGGGCAGACTAATCCTAATGCCTAGCATGCTTGTGCAAATGGGCAGACTAATCCTAATGCCTAGCATGCTTGTGCAAATGGGGCAGACTAATTCTAATGCCTAGCATGCTTGTGCAAATGGGGCAGACTAATCCTAATGCCTAGCATGCTTGTGCAAATGGCGCAGACTAATCCTAATGCCTAGCATGCTTGTGCAAATGGGGCAGGACTAATCCTAATGCTAGCATGCTTGTGCAAATGGCGCAGACTAATCCTAATGCCTAGCATGCTTGTGCAAATGGGGCAGACTAATCCTAATGCCTAGCATGCTTGTGCAAATGGGGCAGACTAATCCTAATGCCTAGCATGCTTGTGCAAATGGGGCAGACTAATCCTAATGCCTAGCATGCTTGTGCAAATGGCGCAGACTAATCCTAATGCCTAGCATGCTTGTGCAAATGGGGCAGACTAATCCTAATGCCTAGCATGCTTGTGCAAATGGGGCAGACTAATCCTAATGCCTAGCATGCTTGTGCAAATGGGGCAGACTAATCCTAATACTTACACACTACTTAAGATTAGACAGAGGCTATTGAGAGGTCAGTTTAATATTATTACGAAAAGAGAGGTAGCAAAATATTACAATTAATAAAATTTATAATAATTCTTAGACTATTTAAGACTAGACATAGGTTATTGAGTGGTAAAATTTTAATTGTGCATTAATATAAAAAGAGAGGTAGTTAAAAATATTACAATTAGCAGAATTTAGTGATCTTGAAATAATTGGAATTTATTAAGTAATTTCAAACTGGCTCAATGATTTCAGGCTATGGGATGATTATAAGGGTGAAAAAACTGAAGTAGATGGATGAGTTGGTTATGTTTGGTATAGGGAGAGGGGCGATTTTTAATTATAGCTATATTGATTTGCAGACAAGGGAGATTTTGCTAGTTCGGGAAATTAATTCCAGATCCTGGGGCCCTTTATCTGAATTGTATTTTTGCGTAAGGTGAGGAGGGTACTGGGGATGTCGAAGATAGTTTTGTGCCATGTGTTGTGCCTGTGTTCTGCTGTAGCTAACAAGGAACAGTTTGAGAGGAGGGTTTATGTTGGAGTTTAATGTTCTAGGCACAGTAATATGAGTGCATATTTTGTATATTAAGGAAGTCCAAGCTCTTGAACGGGTGGGATTCAAACCCGTGGCGAGTAGGTGTACAGAATTGATTAAGATACTAATAAAGAATAAAAAAAAGACAATAAAAACAACAGCGTTTGTAATCTTTGGTTAAATATAATTATATTGTGTTAATGAAGATTTGTGACTAAACAGTATTTTACAAAATTTGTTTTTATTTACAGGTTTGTTACTATGCCAAGGAAAAGGGCGTAGGATGCTTAGTCTGCAGCCATAAGCTTTTCTGCACTCTCGCACAAAACATCCCTTCTATATGGAACACAAACTTCCATCCTCGCCTGACACAAGTTACAGTTCATCAGTAATTTCCGAATGACTTAGAAAAAGCATGCAACAGTGTTTCCGAATGACTTGGAAAAAGCATGCAACAGTGTTTCCGAATGACTTAGAATAGGTATGCAACTAAATTGAATTAGGATTCGCAGTTCTTCATTTATTTGAATGGAATTAAATTGCATGTGTATCAGTAAAAAATGTATTGGTGAAACCTTTTGATAATTTTCTAATGATACTTTTAGATTCTAAATATTAATTCCAGTAGTACACAGTCTGAATGTTCACTTGCTGGTATTGGAAGTATTTTCTTAGAAGTTTCGGGATTTGAGAAACTCAACGAACTGAGACAAACTGGAGATGTAAAGCTATTTTTTTTAATGTTTTGTGGAAGAGCCTTAGAAATATGGCTGATAATTTTTACACTTGTGAAGTGTGCGGCAAAACATTTTCACGATTGTGCAAGCTAAAGAGCCACACACATGTCCATATGACAGATGAAGGTCAATTATTTAGGGATGAATTTGCACAATTGCCAGATTTCATTGATACCCAGCAGTATGAGGAGATGAATCCCAGTTTATGTATGTTTAGTAATAAAGGTATTAGTGAAGATAACCAGATAAATGATTGTCAGGTCTTTCATAAAGACGAAAAAACAAGGGAATCTTACAAAGAAAGCATTGTTAATTTAATTACTGAAGAGGTGGAAGTATTAGTTGATGGTAGACTTTATTACGAATGCCAGGTTTGCAAACAGAGATTAACACGGAGATCTTCCCTTAGGAGTCACTTAAGAAAGCATACTGGAGAAAGACCTTATAAATGCAAGGATTGCGAGAAAACTTTTACATTTTACAAGTGTCTTTGGAATCACTCAAGAAAACACACAGGGGAAAAAAGATTCCAATGTAATTATTGCCAGAAATGCTTTGTGTATTACCAGGGTCTTTGGAATCATAAAAAGTCTCAGTCATGTAAAGTGCCATGTGTGTGTGGCATTTGCGGTGTTAAGTGTGTTTATTTTTGCCAACTCAAGGCTCATGTAAAGCAACACATGGATGAAGATTCATACACAAACAATCAAATAATAAATGGTGCAAATTTGAAAGTATATGGTCGGATCGACTTTGACCAGAAGTTATTTAAGTGCAATGTTTGTGAGAGAAGATTCAGTACCAACTCATCTCTTGAGAGTCATAAAATGCAGCATTCTAGTAACAGACCAGATCCATCTAAAATTAGTCAAGTTATGACAGATTCACCAATAATTGAAGGACAATTAGTAATGGTAGATGATGGGGATCATAGGCAATATAATAAGGGATATAAGCAATGTGATGCCTGTAAGAAGACATACGTGTACACAAAATGTTTTATTAACCATTTAAAAACCCATCAAAATAAAACATTTAAGTGTCATGTTTGTAAAAAGAGTTTTACAAAACTTAGAGATTGGAAGATTCACTCTAGAGTTCATACAAGTGAAAAGCTTTATGTATGTTTGGTGTGTGATAAATCATTCATTGAATACTCTGATCTTTTGAAGCATAATAAAGTACATGCAAGTAAAAAAACATTCAAATGCGGCGACGAGTGTGGGAAATGTTTTCTACATTCCTTTAATCTGAAGAGTCATGAACGAGTACATTCAATTAGAAATACATACAAAATAAGAAAACACAGAAAGAGAGCAAAGTGCCACAGTGAACTACAAAACAACAAGAACATACCAACAGAAGTGAAGTCTGAAGGTACGCTCTGCACACAAAGTTTTCCAAACTCAAACAAACTAACTCTGCATTGTAAAATGGCACACGGGGACATAATTGAGAAATCTAGGAATAAAGTATATAAATGTGCAATGTGTGGGGCAGTTTTTGTTTCAAAAGATGACATTATGAATCACCAAAAATGTATAGATTCCAATATTTGTGACAAGCAATTGCATCGTAGTTACATAATTTACCTTCGCAAAAGTTCAAACAATTATCATAAGGCATCTCAGGAGTTTATTGAAAGTAATGAAGAAAGTGACATAACTATGCTGGGAGCAAATCATTCGAGTGATATCCCGAATGAAAATGAAAAAAGCAAGAAAGTCTTAATTATTTCGCCAGAAAATCAACAGAACTACCTGGAAAGAGTTGAAATTGAACTTAATAATTGCCAAGAATTATTTAAGGTTGAAATTAATATTTACAATATTATTGAAGACGTTGTAGAACAGGTAGGTGAATCCCAAGGAGAGAATGATTCAGTCATGAAAACAAATTTTGTTAGCCGTGATCAGTGTGTACCAGTATCCAACAGGTCTGGTGAAAGGCCAGGGATCCCACATAAGTATATTTTAGTAGGAACTGCTGAGACTGTCACCCAAATGAGAGACGGAAAACAATTATGTAGCACTGAAGTCACTACTGAACTTGCATCATCTCAACAGAGTTGTGTGATCAGTGTGTACCAGTATCCAACAGGTCTGGTGAAAGGCCAGGGATCCCAGATAAGTATATTTTAGTAGGAACTACTGAGACTGTCATCCAAATGAGAGACGGAAAACAATTATGTAGCACTGAAGTCACTACCGAACTTGCATCATCTCAAGAGAGTTGTGTAGATACATTTCCTAATGGGGATGTATATAATTGTACGGAACATTTTGTGAATAAAGACAGTCACCGCATTGAGCATTCTGAGAATAATGACAGTCAACGCATTGAACATTCTGTGAATAATGACTGTCACCTCATTGAACATTCTGTGAATAATGACTGTCAACGCATAGAATATTACGTGAATAATGACGGTTACCACACGGAATACGTGAATAATGATGGTCACCACATGGATTATGTGAATAATGACTGTCACCGCATGGAGTATGTGAATAATGTTGGTCACCGCATGGAGTATGTGAATAATATTGGTCACCGCATGGAGTATGTGAATAATATTGGTCACCGCATGGAGTATGTGAATAATATTGGTCACCACATGGAGTATGTGAATAATATTGGCCACCACATGGAGTATGTGAATAATATTGGCCACCGCATGGAGTATGTGAATAATATTGGCCACCGCATGGAGTATGTGAATAATGATGGTCATCGCATGGCACACTTTGTGAGTAATGACAGTCATTGTATAGGACATTTTGTTAAGAATAACAGTGTAGTGTATGCGGTCAAGTTTTGTTAAGAATAACAGTGTAGTGTATGTGGTCAAGTTTTCTCCACATTAACTGCATGGGTCATGTAATGGGTCATATCAAATTTGTGTAGGTGAAAATTTTTGGCCCTTTTTCCAATTTGTTTATACACACCCTATGCGGGTGCATATTTGCTACAATTATCTAATACCAAAATAATTTATGAGTAATCCAAGCATTAGAATTGTGTTAGTCAGTTTAGAAGCAATGCTGTAATAAGCACAAGGTTTATATTTAAGTATCTAAATTTTGTATTTTGGAAGGTCTCTAACTTAACTAAATTAGCATGCCACGCCTTGCAAATGACTTTTTATGTATATTGCAATTGAAAGTTTTTTTTTTTTTTTTTTTTTTTCAACAAATCTGTTTTCTTGCATATGTTATATATACCAAATTCTTATGGTTTGCTGTTATTTTCTGATAAAAATCTCATTGATCTTCAAGCAGTTTTTCCAATTTAAAACAATTGGTAAATGTGTTTAGTTTACTAATTGGAATGATTTCCTATTTGATATTTTTGTTGGTAATGTTTATTTTATACATTGGTGTTTTATAGAGAGTTTCTTGTGGAAACAAGACACTTATTTTCTGGTTATTTTGAGGATCAGAAGCATACAACTCACTTTCTGGTTATTTTTATTTTGAGGATCAGAAGCATACTTTTTATATTTTACGCTGTATTTGTTAACCTTCAGAAAAAAGGGTCAAAGTTTTGGTTTTCTTGTGTGGAGACAATATACAATTTAATTAAGTGGTTCATACCAAGTATGTACTGAATTTCACACATAAGTAACTTGAATTTACTGAACAGTGAGTGGAATTTCCGTAGTATTTGAGTGATGATTTGCAAGTTTGCTACTGAGTTTATCATAATGTAATAACTTTGGCCAAAATTTTATAAGCCAGTAGTAAGCAAATTTGTATGACAGTATAATAATTGTTGCATATATTACTGTGAAATTTTTAAATTGAATTTATTAAAATGTTAATGAACAAAACCTATTACAAAAAAAGTTATGTTAATTCTTGAAGTTCATGAGAAAATTATATTCTTTATTTTCATAAATATCTTTGTTAATTTTTATTATGTTGTGTTGCTTTTTAATTTATATATACTATGCTTTGTTCTTTAAAGTGGTGTTAATTTTTAAAATTGATTTTTATATTATTGAATAATTTTCTGAATGGTTTTCATTATTGTGAGAGAAGCAGAGAACTCGCTCTTTAATTAAATTAAAAAAATACATTTTTGGCAGAT